GCATCATTCCTTGACTCAGCCTGTGGTTGTGGCCACCTGGATTGTGTCCTCAGCATAATCCAGGGCCAGAGTCCTTCTAGGAAGGGAGGGAGGGAGGGAGGAGGAGCAGGAGGAAGGAAGGAAAAGGAAGAAGGAAGGGGAAAGGAGCGGGGGAGAGGCAGGGGCACAGAGAGGGGGTAGGGAAAGTGGGGGAAGGGGGAGGGAGAGATTGCATGGGTTTCCTTTTGCTGCTATAACAAAATACCATAGATTTAATGGTTTAAAATAACACAAATTTGTTATCTTATAGTTCTGGAGGCCACAAGTCCAAAATGGTTCTCACAGGGCTAAAGTCAAGGTGTTGGCAGTACTGTGTTCCTTTCTGGAGCCTCCAGGGGACAATCTTTTTCCATGTCTTTTCTAGTTCCTAGAGACTGCCTGCATGTGTGGGCTTGTGGTCTCTTCCATCTTCAAAGCCAGTGATATCCACTAGGCTTTTTCACATCACATCACTGACTCTGAGTCCCCATCTCCTCCTTTCACTTATAAGGACCCTTGGGATTACTTTGGACTCACTCAGATCCTTAATCAGGATAATCTTCTTATCTCAAGGTCTGCCTGTCTGCAGCCTTCACTCCCCTCGGCCACGTATCAGAACCTGTCTGCAGGCTGCAGAGATTAGCATGTGGGCCTAATCTTGAGGGGACCGTTACTCTGCCTCCCACAGTACTCGAACCTCCTCCCTGCCCTCCTCCCTGCCGGGGTGACGGAAGACATGGCCAGCTAATCCCAATGCCTGCCTCAAAACCCTTCCTAACAATGCTTCTGGCAGTCGGGCATGAATCAACTGGACTTGGCTCAGAAGCAAAATCTACTTGCTAACCCTGACTACAGATGTAAACGCTAGAGAAAGGGCAAGATGGTGGATGAAATGTTGACATTTGCAGGCCATCTCGGGGTTTGGGTGCAGTCCCCAAAAAAGACAGACATTCGCAGACTGCTATTTCTGACATCCCAACAAGTCCAGGGGCTTCGTGGGCCCCTCCCTCCCCGCCATCGGGGGTTTCAGCTGATGGCAGGACATTTTCTGGGGCAGGTTTTCTTGGGGGATGTTCTGTCTGAGGACTATTAAGTTGTCCCATTTGTCCCATGGGGAACCTTATTCTAGGATCACAGGCCCACCCTCTTCGGTCACTTTCCACATCTGCCCGGAGCTGCCTGCAGAGCCCTTGCTCTTTACAGGGAGGCCAGTGCTCTTCCCACAAGGGGGTCCTCACTGCTAGCTTCGAGAAATGTACTGGCACTGCCCGCTGGAGTCGCCTCCATCAACCTGGTTTGCACAGTGAAAAACTGTTCCTGTTTCCCTCCCTCCTAGAGGGTTAGGACCAGATGTGACTCACAGCTGGAGGACAAAGCTCTGCCACGTCCAACCGAGAGAAGATGCGTTTGCACCCGTGCTCCCAGTCCCCGGCTCAGATCCCAACCTGGGGCAGGAGGTCTTTGTTGAAACAGAGAGGGAAGTATAGCTATGTGACTTGGGGACCGTCCTTGCTCTTCTACTGGCTGGGAATACAGAGTCGGGGCAAGTCACTTCATTTCTGTATGAGCCTTCATTTCATCAAGTCAAAAAAAGACTAGGCCATATTAATTCTAGGATTTCTGAAAATTCTTATCATGAAAGGTTTTGGCTCTCACAGCCTGGAGTGGTTCCAGAAAGGTGTAAGGAGAGCAGTGGGGGCCTTAGAATCATGGTTCTGAAAAGTGACAGAGGACACTGGGATGCTCAACCAGGAAGAGGAGCTGGCGTTCGGGGCCCGGGACCCTGGCCTCCTGGGCCTACTTGGATACAATCATATTAGTAACAATGGCTTAACTTATACTGGCTCACCAGGGTGTCAGCCCTTCCATAATTACCACCCCCCCCAATATGTCTAGGTCCCTAGGAGTTGCCTCATGTGTGCGCAAGACACAGTTTTCTGACCACCCACCGTTGTGTTCCCTTTGGCCTGCTCTAGGCCCTCTACCAGGACCCTGGACACCGCCACCTCTCACTGGGCCCTGCTGTCACCGCCACCACAGAGATGCCGGAGGCCCCCTGAGGCCAAGAACTGCTGGGTTCCATGGTGAAGGAGAGAGCGTCTCCCCGCCATTGTGCATTTTACTCTGAGGGCAAGTCCCAAAGTTGACTCCCCAGGGACTAGCACGCATTACTTTACACCATGCTTCCCGTTTGTATGTGTGGCCTCTCAGTTCTCCAGGGGTTTTGCAAAGAAGCCCAATGGGGGCTGAGTTGTGAGCCAAACCCAGTTGTGAGCCATTCACCAACCCAGGCTCAGAATTATTCCCGCCCTGCTGCAATCAAAGCTCGGGTCTCAGGTCAGCTGTTTGTGCTGGTTCCTTCTTCTGCCGCCGAGATGAGCTCCTTCCCAGGAGGCTGAACGGGCCCACCCCAGCCCATCACAGGGCCTGCTCGGCCGTGCCTGACCAGGCCTGGGCTCAGGCTGGGACTCCCTGGGCACTTCGTGTGTGTGCCAGCCCGCCATGTTAGAGAGGCACTGCCCTCCTGCTTCCCAGCCACAAGAAGACCAATGTTGGAAGCTACAAAAAGCCAAATTTTTTTTTGCCTTATATGTTGAGCCAAAAACCAAATGGATCTATCAGTAGGTATAATGACATTCCTCAGGTGGTCATGAGTGTCCCGTAACATGAACGGTTTAAGTCGGGTGGTACCCTAACAGGGAGGTCAGGAAGAAGATGCCCCAGGTGTCAGACACTGCCCTGGAAATCTGTACATCTGTCATCTCTCACTACACAATTCTTGCTGGGAAAGCACCTCCTGAGTTGCCCTAGAAAAAGTGCCAGGCTTACCAACTGGCTTCATTGCCTGGGGAGGGGGGTAACCACTCCGAGTTCCCCTTGGGAATCTAGTTTTCAAGGTTGAGACCCTCCTATTTGCAGATGGAAGAGTGTCATACAGTAGTAGCCACGACCTTCTGCAAATTACAAGGACATTACCGTGTGATGGAGTCCAAGGAAGACCAATTCAGGGGGAATCAAGTAGGTCCAGGGAAAGAGAGAATTCAGGGAGTACATTAGCTACCCTCACATGTCCAAGGAGCTGCACAAAGCAAAAGTACATTCATATTTTCAGCCTAGGGTAGTAAAAGGGACCACTGGGCTGGAGGCAAAAGACCAGCTGGATCTGTGGCTCCCTCACTCGCAAACTGTGGGATGTCAGACAAGTGATGCAAACTCGAAGCTTCCATTTCTTCAGCATGCACGTCATAGGGTTGTTGTGATAAACTAAGATAATGATGTGACAGCACATGGAGGACTGCAGTGCTGTTCCCGCCACCCCCCCCCCCCCGGCTTAGTTTCCCATGTGTCTGAAGCAGCTCTGTACACCCAGTGCCGGGTCCCTCCCTGGCATGGTGCGCCAGTGTTCAATAAACGTCCACTGAATTCTCCTCTGGAGAAACATCTCAGAAGGCAATCAATAAAGGTTCTAAGGAAGCTAAATCCATCTTTAACTTAGGCAAGACCTATGGAACTGCCAGAGCGGTCTGCCGGGCTGATTCAGAGGTAGACTGCTCTGCCCCATGGAGGCGTTCAATTCCAGGAGGTTTAACAGCCTTTAGAGGTGCTCTAGAATGATCTCTCCCCCCACAGAATGTGGGTCACAGAGGGTGGCAGAGCCACGCCAAGGTATAGATATTTCACTGGAAATCCACTTCGCTCACCAGCCCACGAACCCGCCTTACGCACCAGCATCTTAGTGCACACAAGTCAAATTCTGGCCTCACCACAGCACAGATCCCTGTGTGCTGGGCACACTCAAAGGACTCTGGGGCACTCACAAAGGACTGGGATTGTGAAAGCGGGGCATGCCAAGGCTTTGTCGAAAACCAGACCTCCCGATCCTATATATTACAACACGGTGACGCTTCACTGACACATATGCACCATACGAGCACTGGATTCACTCACTCATTCAACAAGCACGGATTGAGCCCCTCATCCAGGACAGGGGTGATCAGAGGGGGGGGAGGTGGGGGTGGCAGACGAGTCAGGGGGTGACAGCAGGCGGAGGGTATATAACAGATGTGCTCTGCCCCGGGGAGCGTTCGTAGCTATCCGGGCAACAGACATTATGTAATAACCAAGCAAATACACGTACAACTGTGAAGTGTGATCCGCCATGAAGGAAAGGTAAAAGGGGATATTGAAGGAATATAAGGGTGCCACAGAGAGAAAAGTCTTCTCTGAAAAAAGCGACACTGAACTCAGCCTGGAGGCGGAGTCTGGGACAGCCGCCGAAAAGGGGGAAGACGCAGCGAGTGGGCGAAGGCTGGAGGCGGGACCGTGACTGAGACAGTGCAAGAGTGGAGAGAAGGTGTGTTACAGCTGCAAACGGGCGAGCAGGTGGGCCGGTGGGACATGGTAAAGGCTTTGTCTGTCTTACCCTAAATGCAAAGGATGGCCAGTAAAGGGTGTTGGGCGAGGATGGAGGAGGTCAGATATGTGGCTTTAAAAGATCACAACCCTCACCCCCACCCCCAGGAAGAAGGGAGTAGAAGGGAAGAAGGGAAAAGCTGGCGGGGGGCTGGGGTGGGGGGCTGCCGTGCACAAAAGTGGGTGCAGCACAGAGGTACTAGCAAATATTGATTCTATTTGCGCTGCCCCCTGCAGGAAAGGGGAAAAGAGCAGGGGGAAAACAACAGGACCCGCTCCAGGAAAACTATGGGAATAAATTTAAAGCAATCCTAAAGTCTTAAAGAGTTTGATGACACCTAATTAAAGTCAAAAGATAGATCTTAAGCTCCAATCGTTCACATGGCCTCAGGCTACTACTTAAAGGAAAAAAGGATAGAAGGAAATACACCAATATGTTAACAGCCGTTAACGTGGATTATGGGGGCTTTTTATATCCATCTTTGTATGTTTCTGTTTTCCAAGTTTTCTACAGTCCTTTATGCGTTTCTTTGTAATTAGAAAAAAAAAATCCAGATATTAAGAAATAATGTCATCTTCTCACTTCCTGGGTGTGTCTCCAGGAAAGAAGTAAAGGTGTCTGCTGGGATTCCATCCTCCCGTTGGGATGGTTCTCCTTCCTACAGAAGAAAGAGCCAGAAGCATTCAGAAATCACAGTATCAAATTCTCCCACAAAGTCCCAGATCGTTAGGACAAAAGCACGCACCTGTAATTGCTTTCTTCAACTGCCCTGGTAACACACTCCTTTCTGGGGCTGACCCCCTAACGTTGCCTCCCGGCCCAGCCTCTCCACCGGCTCCCTGGAACCACACCACCCAGGCCCTGGCTCCCAAGCTGCTGCCGACTGGACCAGAGATAGACATCTGATTCAAGTTACACCAACTGGATTCACTCTCTCAGGAATTTGGAATTGACACAACGAGACTAAGTGGAGAAAGATGATGGTATTTGAGCAAAAATGTGGTCCTGTAGCATCGGGCACCGCTGGTACAAGCCAAGGCCATGAAGGAGTAAAAAATGAAAGAATCTCCCTTCCCCTCTCAGAGGTTTTCTTGGGAACAGAAGGAAGAGAGAGGAGGCCCCCAGGCTGCAAGGCTTCACGGAAGGTGAAGGAAGAGGCTCCAGTCCTGGCTGCCCACCTTATTCCCCAGAGAGCCTTGTCTCTTCTTACATGTCTGTGCGAAGGGCTGTTGTGTCCTTTCAGTACATCCTGGTCCTTTGACTTTGTTCGAGGGGTTTCTCTTCCTTATAGCCAAAGAGCTTCCACTAAGAAATTTCTTCATGTTAAGAGCCCAACTTCTCATCGTTTTCAGAAGATCATCTACCCTGATCATCCAGCTTCTGCCCAGGTTACCTGCAGAAGGTCATGGGGATAAGGCCCTCTTCCCTTCCACGGGGGTGCCTCCAACCAAAGGCCCCACCACCCAACCAAGTCAGGCCATGCTCCAGCTCCAAACTGGGTGTGGCACTCTGCACAAGTTGAACAAACCCAGAGCAGGCAGCCCCCTCGAGGCCATCCCGCATCTCCATCAAGGAGTGCTGGGTGCCCTGTGGCCTCACAAACTTCCCAAGGCAGAGGTTTGTCCCTTGGGGGTGAAGCCCCTGCAGGAGGGGCCAAGGGCCGAGCAGCCACTGCCTCAAGCCCGGGGAGAAGAGGGAATTTGACAGCGCCAAGGTAAAGCCTCTTTTTATTAAGACAACACAGCAAACTCTTTTTAACCACAGCTGACATCACTCTAATAAATCACCATCATGTCTTGTGGGATAGAAAAAGCCAAAACACTGTCACATTTGATTTTGCTGGCTACTCGCCTCTCGAGAACAAACCATGTGTTTTTAATCAACAACACTTTGTTTTGCATTTCTCAGACCCCAATACTCTTTAAATAGTTGCTTTTTACCAGAGGGCTATTTTAAGCCCAGGGCCAGCTTCTTTGCAGAGGACATTAAGAAACAGAACACCACGTTACCGGTTCACCAGGCTTATCCCGGGCACTTTCTCTGCTGGGATGATTATGTCTTGTGAGATTCTAGCTGTCTGTTTCACAGGGGGCTTTCCTCTTCCCTCTTTGGGAATTTAATTAGATGTCTTCCCAGAAAGTTGGAGTTTTTTGGTTTCTCTAACAGGCAACCCGTCTGGGTTATGGGAAAACGGCAAATTCCCAGCCAAAGGAAACAGAGAAGTCACATCTGGGACTAGGATTCCAGAGGAGTGAACAAGGAGGTGACAGAGGAGGGGGACTGTTGGTGGGGAAAGGAGCAGTAAAATAAGATTTCCGGAACGGTGCATGTCAATTTCTGCGTGCAAGTGGGCCCCAGACGTCTTGGAGGCGGATGTGCTCCGGCAAGCCCACTAAAGCTTGCCTGGGGCTCAGCCTCTGGATTTCTGGGAATGAGTGTCACCTCAAGGCAAGAGTAAACTGTGTGCAGGCACCTTCCCCTAAAAGGGGCTCCTTACCTGACTGCCCAATGCAGCAGGATCTCAACAGCGATCGGCAGCCGGGTTCATCTTGTCCTGACATAGGTCTCCAACAACACCAGGCTTTAGAAAGACAAGGAAAGGGACTGCGAGAAGGTCCTGACCTAAACCACAGAAACGCTCTATGCTATTTGCTCAACAGTGAACTTAAGCCAATCGAACGATCCAACCAAAATATAGGGGTGGCTACCATGTGGTTCTGGCGTCAACCACCAGCCCTCAGCCATGTGGCAAAATTCTTTTCCTTGGTGACTAATGAAATCCTCCAACACAGGTCAGGTTAGGGCTTCCTTCTTCCATGCAGTCCTAATTGCTTAGCCTCTGCTGATGAGATCATGCACGACACACGGTGCTCCCAGGCTGATACACCCAGACCCATGCCACTCTAGGCATGTCAGACTCCTCACTTCCTGGGTCTGAGCTGATAGTCTAACTGGAGAGGACTCTCAATTGTTTGAAGTGCATTCTTTCATGAAGAGTCCATCAACCATATAACTCTGGTTATTCCTTTATTCCATAAACTCATGAAATATGGGGTAAGCATAATACCCCCATGGAAAACCCATTCTGTCAGTGTATTTTGCAAAAGTGTCTGCCCCCAAACACCCCAATCATCTGCAACTGTGTTGGGAGAAGGTGGCAGTTTATATATATGCCTGTCATTAGGGGGAAAAAAGTCTTCCAGGCTGAGTGCTATCTGGAAGACCCTTTCCCACTACTCAGAAGCCCTTTGTTCTAGTCAGTTCTGTCTCTCCCACCAATGCATACCCTGTTTCATGGGCCAGTATCAGTAGCTGTTTACTTGCAGCCTCACTGGGATCTGCTCTATGATTATACTCACCTATGGGGATTTCATTTGGCCATGTAAGCATCTTGGGCTGACTATTTACAAGGCCAGGTTAGGGATTACTCTTCCAGTTGAGTATTATAAATGGGTATTTAAACTCATGACCTGAGCCCTAAATATTCCATGGCAAATGTTTCCATTCATTTGGTTGTCTTCACAGAATAGGAAACCCGAAAAGATACTGAAATATTGGAAAACATCATCTGGTTGCTACTCACATGAGTGTTCAAGACTGGATTCAGAAGGAGGCATGCATGCGTGTGTGTGTGTGTGTGTGTGTGTGTGTTTGTGTATTGAGGAGGACTGTGGATTCCAGGACAGTTCCTGGTAGGAACACTCTTCACTAAGCCTCCGGAACTGACTCTCATTTCTTCCTGTGTTCACTTGCACCTGCTTCCCAGGTCTCCCATCCATGGCCATGGCCATGGCCACGTGCATGAGCTATGAGGATCGGGGAAGGATAGAGCCTTGCCACCCAAAGTGTGGTCCCCGCATAGACATTGGCACGCCTGTCAGCAATGCAAAGACTCTGCTGCCCCACATGTACTGACTCAGAAGCTGCATTTTAGGGGCGCCTGGGTGGCTCAGTCGGTTAAGCGTCTGCCTTCGGCTCAGGTCATGATCTCAGAAATAGCACTACTATTTCTGAACCCTGGCTACACATTAGAATCACCTGGGGTTTAATGCTAAGGTTTAACCCAACACCAGTTAGGATTTCTAGAGGTGGGGCCCAGGCTTTGAAATTATCCCTCATCATTTCAATATACAGCCAGGGTTGAGACCACTGGTCTACAAGAATAATCATTTACTGAGCATTGGCTAGGTGCCAGATGTTGATTAGGAGTTTTATAGAGGCTGTCTTTATCCTCATTGCAACCACTGAAGGGTAAGCATGGCCCTCCCCATCTTGTCCCATGTCCCAGAGGTCTCACATCAGAAACCACATTCAAACCAGAGCCTGAGCTCCAGGCACCATGCACCTAGCCTGTCAATGGTAGCAAGAGCCCCACAAACAGAGAAACAGCCATGAAGCTCCAGGAAGCCCAGGCTCAAGGAACACAATGTTCTTCTCACAAACAGGCAAAACAGGCTGAAGTGGGAAGAGCAGGATTTGACAGATGACGCCACACCATGGAGACCTCCAGGTCAAACTGGCCAGACCTTCCCTGGAAAGGCCAGGTACAGCAACTCACAGACCAAGAGCCCCACCACCCGGAGGGCGCTGCCAGTGGTTCCTGCCTAGTCCTATCCAGAAAAGCCAGGCCAGCCAGGGAAAGGATTTCAGCTGGTTTTATGGACATTTATGAACAAAATGTACTTATTAGTAAATAACAATTATAGGAGAGCAGGTGCCCCGGGGAGAGCAGGTAACATGGGATTTCATTTTCTAATGCCCTCCATGAGCAAACCCTGTTTGAAATTAAAACATCCTTGCTGTCAACACGAGTGTTTAAGGAGACGGGGCTTCTGTAATGTAAGCAGTAATTCTAATGTCTGCTGTTAATTGAAGGCTTCATCATTTACAGGGTGCTTTCACATGTACTAATGTGTTTAATCCTCACAACAAGCCTGTGAGGCAAGTATTTTTTCTTATCCCATGTTATAGATGAGGAAGCTGAAGCCCCAGAGAGATGAAGTGGCAGGCCCAAGGTGCAGAGCTGGGTGTTCGTTCATAGGCGAGGCCAGTGCCTTCCCAACCACACTAATGTCATCCAGTCAAAACTCTAATCCTGCCAGAAAAATTGTCCTCCTTCACTTCTGGAATTCCCTTTGCAGCTGGTCTTCAGAGGCTCTGGAGTCCTGTCTATGTTCCATGTGCTGGCTGAACTCTAGGGGGCCATTCTTGTTGTCCTCATTCTTGTGTCTGAGACTTAAGGCAGCTATGAGCAGGAGTTTGGCACCCAAGAGGAGAGTGGGGCCACATAAAGTTCGAAGAGCTTAACACACGGGCACACATTCACACACACACACACATACAGCGTTTCAATAGCAGGACATTTCACGGTAATGTTTTAAGTCACCCAAAAATTCTGCGTGGAAGTTGTGAGCAAAAGAAATCATGAACACTTCCAATATGGCTACCAAGTTATAAACGTCATCACCAACTTGCAAAAGATTAAGGAATCTGGGAACAAATTAGCCTGGTGTAGACAGTGACTTACGGAGAAGTCTCAGAGAGGAGTCAGAAAAGCCAACAACTTTAAATCCTGTAAAGTTTCTTAATCAAGTTACACTATTATTTGAAATTGGCAGAACACCAATGGATTTAGTCCAAAGACATAATATATGACTTTTTTTTTTTTTTTTGGTTTTCTTTTTTAAGGGCATTAGGGTTTTAGTTCCTTTTTTCCTTCTTGAGGGTTGGGGGGTTTTTTTTTTTTTTTGGCAATATGTTGCTTTCTTTTCTCAAATCTGTTTCCATCCAACATGCATAAAATGGAGCCAGTTCCAGGGAGCCCTACACCTCCCTCCTCCTTGTGCCCCTTGCGGAGCTCACTCCTTTATTAAACTAGCTAGCCCCATAGCCAGAAGCAACAGAACACAGTTCTGTGCAAAGGGCTCTCTCCTCCGCCCGGTCCTCCCTCACAGTTCAGCTAACTCTACACAGTGGTGTAAGACAGAGGGTGAAGGAACCCTCGCCACAGAATCACCCCGAGATTATGGGTGAAACTTCCCCTTCAAAGGCTGCCTCCTTCTACATTCCCTCAGCTGACCTTCCCCCCAGGGGCTTTGTTCACAGTTCCAGACCCGCCTGCCCTTTGTACTGCCTGCCTCTCTGCCTTCCGTCTCCCCCACCCCCACCCCCACCCCCACCCCCACCGCCTCGACTCTCCCAGCCTCTCCAGGGCCGCCTGGCTTCCTTCTCAGGGAGCCCCCAGCCAGGCAAGCAACTCCCCTCCCACAGGCCCTGAGAAACCCCGAGATCAAAGAGCTCAGCAGCAGGGCCAGGTGTCCATCCTCCTCCACAGGCCACAATTAATCAAGCCGCCTGACTCACAAGGAGATCAAACCCGGCCCCCCGCCAGCTGTTGGTTAAAGCTGGCCTTCAAGTTGTCCTCATTAAATTTGCTCTCCCTCTCTCTCCCTGCTGACTCCTGTCCCGTGATCATCTATCTCTTGGATCTCTCTCTCAGCGCTTTTCCTGTCCCTTTCCTCTCTCCTTCCACCGCCTATCAGTTTGTGTTTTCCTCCATTTCCTGGCTTCACCAGCCCCAGGCCCGACCCCTCCATCGCGTGCCGGGCGGTCCCGCTCCACAGTGTCTGTTCCACAGTGTCTGTTCTACTCGCTCGGAAGCCCACGGTCCCCAAACTCCTTTGTCTGGACACCCTCTCCTGGACTTCAGGGGCTGAGTAGAGACTCGGCCCCTGAAGTTCCAAGAGGAAGCCTGTCCGAAACCAAGCGGTTTCCCCGGTCCTCAAAGCCAGGGATGGGTCCACCAACACGGAACTCGATTCACCTGCTGGCTCTTGGCAGCGGACGCATCTCCCGCACGCACAAGCGCATGCGCCAACCCCTCTCAGCCCTCGGCTGGAACCTCCCAAGGCAGCCCTCCCCGGGCCAGCTGGTCAGTCCACACCTTACTTAGCACGGTTTGCAAGTCTCCACCGCAAGAACCATTTCACCTGTGAACAAAAGGCAAGGAACACCACCTACGAGTTAGAAAACGGGCAGAGCCTTTTTTTCCTTCCAGCTCGGCCCAGAATGAGGAAGGATGGAAACATTGGATCCTGACTTCTCCTCGACTGATGTGTTGAGAGTATTTACTCCAGTTGTCTAGGGTTTGTTTTTATACACTTTTTCCTACAACAAACACTGGCAAAAAAAAAAAAGAGAGAGAGAGAGAGGGAGAGAGAAAGAAAAAAAAGCGAGTACAGGCTGCAGAGCACTGCCCTCTCTTTCTCCGTCTCACTATATATACATCTATGTATTTTTTAACTTGTTTTCCATTTCAGTGGTTCTTAAAGCGCACAGGCGTGAGAAAACACAGATGGAGTGGAACAGGCAATGTTGTAGCTGTACGCAGAAGACATCACACCATGCTGGAGATTTTTAGAAGTCTTGGAAGACCTCAGGATACAGAGAGGTTTTTTGGTTTGGTTCCCCCCACCCCCTTTCCTTATATAGTTGGAATTTTCTCTTGCTTCCTCTCTCAGCTCTATTTCTCTATCCCTGGCATCACCTGCTGCCTCTGGGAACACAGAGTCCCTTGGCCTGGGTGACTGGGTCACTGTGGCTGCCCCGGGTTTGACCTCGGTTACCTGCCCGTGCTCCCCCAGCTGTGGCGAGGCGAGCCCCGAGGGAGGAGAAGCCATCCATCACCCGGGCAGCAGCACAAGCCTGAATGAGGGCGAGAAGGGTCAGCGCTGGTGCGCACTTGGGCAGGTCGGAGGGGGTGGGGGCATTACAAATTGCGGAGATATCGGTGCCGGGCTTGATTGATGACGCCGAATGAGGAGCAAGATGCTGGCACCGGGACGAGCCCGAGCTTCAGTCCTCCACCGGCTTCCTCCCGGCCCACCCCCAGCGGCCCTTTCTCCCCACTTCCTTTTTCTTGCCTACTTACAGCCCATCCGTCAAGCCGTGCCCCGAAGCTGACCTTTCGCAGAGAACAGCCAGCCTAAGAGAACCATTTCTTTCCAAAAAACCTCACCAAGGGCTTATATTCATGCGGGCAGGCCCACAGTCAACGGTGCGCCACCCCTGCTTCCTGTCCCCAATGCCTGCCTCCTCCCCTTGTGAGTTTCATGAGCTCTGAGCAAGGAGGGAAAGGGGTGGTGAACACATTTCTTTAGCAGCGCCCCAGTTTCTCTCCTGACCTGAAACCCACTTCCGCCACCGGTTGGCCCTGCGGGTCTGACAGTCACCTGTGGAGCCATGGGGTGCTTGTCTTACTCTGCCCAGTCTGGCCTCTGGAAAGCAGTTATGGGTGGTTCAGAAAAGGCATCGAGGCGACCTCTGGGAGAAAAGCGAGAATGGACCGAAGAGTCCAGCAGGCGTGGGAGGAGATGTGCTCCGAGGTTGGGCAGGGCATGGATGCCTGGCTGGGCAGTTTCTCACTGGCAGGGGGACCTGTCCATCTCTTTGGAGACCACACAGGTTGCCAGTCACACCACTGCAGCGGCACAACAGAACAGAGTGGGGACATGTTGGGGCAAACGGTGATGGGAGATGTTTAATAGAATTACTATTAGGCTTTGAGTTAATGAATCACAACTGCAAGAAATCATGATAATCCAGCAGGCATTAATGACAGATTAGCTTCAAAGCTGCCATAAAAGTGCCATAATGCTTACCTAACGGCATGATTAATTCTCCCAGTACATAATGGCTTTATGGGGGAACCAGGCACCAACAGAGACTTGACAGAAAGCCACACTGAGATCCCCAGGGCGCCAGGGGCACCCCCACCCTGCCTGGACCGTGTGGCTTCCGCTCTGCCTGGAGGCACCTACCCCCACTGGATTGTGGGTAGACAAGGGCAGCTGCTTAAGCTTACCCCAGAGCTGTCTTGGGAGGGAGGCAAGGAGCAGTCCCCTGGAGTCCCTGCTGTGCTTTGCCCCTCACCAGGTAGCAGCTGTCCAGGGGAACCCGGGAGTCCTATCACCCCAGCCTCCAAGATAGGCAGCTCCTATGACCAGCACTGGTGCTCAGAGAGCCCCATCCCAGTGCCCAAACCAAAGGTTCTAGCATGGAGAAGTCTGGAAAGAGTACAGGCGTACCTCATTTTATTGCACTTCTCAGATATAGCATTTTTCACGAACTGCAAGTTTGTGGCGACCCTGTGTCAAACAAGTCTTTTGGCACCATTTGTCCAACAGTATTTGCTCACTTTGTGTTTTGTGTCACATTTTATCGCCATATCTCAATTTTTTGCACCATTATTTGTTATGGTGATCTGTGATCACTGATCACAGCTCACTGAAAGCTCAGGTGATGATTAGCATTTTCTGGCAATAAAGCGCTGTATTTGTTTTAGACACAATGCTATTGCACACTTAATAGACTACAGTAGAGTATAAATATAACTTTTATATGCACTGGGAGACCAGAAAATTCATCTGACTTGCTTTGTTGTAATACTTGCTTTATTGTTGTGGTCTGGAACCATACCTGGAACATCCTGAGGTTTGCCTGTACTGAACTAGGGAGCTTGCCACGACTGTGCTCCTCACCAGCTGTGTGACCTGGTGGGTCCCTTAACCTCTCTGTGCTCAGGTCTTTGGGCCCTGAGTCTGCATCTTTAACTACTAGACTACCTCCATATCATGGCACTTGATAGTAAGCACCCACTTGTATTCCAGGCATGATGCAAATCTCCTTATATGTATTATTTCATTTACTAACCCCCCAATAATCTTATGAGATAGTCACCTCTATTATCTTCACTTTACAGACAGGGAAACTGATGCCACACAGTTAAACTGCTAGTTAAGTAAAAGCAGGCAATACTCCCTAGTTTCTCGCTTCTCTGTGAGCTGTCTCCACCCCGAACACCACCAGTTTAACTCAGGAGAAAAGTAGCTTGCGAGACACTGAACATCACCTTTTATGTGACTCAGCAATGCTGGATTGCCTCCCCACCACCATCCCTCACCCATGGCAGGGGAAATCTGTGACCTGGGAGGTGACGGATCTGGACTCTACATCTGCTATTTACCTTGACTCTGAGGCCCCTTCTGACAGTGTTACCTTGGGCACGTAACCACTCCTGGTTTCTCTTTCAGTTTCTCTTTGGGGAAAAGGGAGTACTGATCATCATCATAGTAGTTTACCCACCTGACAGCAGGAGCGTCTTAACCCTGTCAGGCTCAAATCTACCTTTTCCCAACTCCTCTAGAACCCGGCCACTCTCCTGAGTACACCCCCAGACTCCACACCGGAGGTTCCCATCATGGGCTGCCCATCTTCCCATAAATATGGAGGCAATTAGCACGAAGCCCAGGTCCAAAAGGAATTCTCGAAGCCATGTTCATCTTCATAATGTTGAAGAAAACCCCCCAGGAGGCCTGAGTCACTGCTGTGGCAGGCAGACTGCTTCTGGTCTGATTAACTGAGCTCCATGAGAGGCACACACCCTCCCTCTTTATATGTATTATTTCATATACATATAGGTATATGTATGTATATGAACTCTCAGCCCACACCATTCCGGAGTTCTCTCCAATGGAGACTTTCCCCAGGCTGCCACTGACACCCCGCAAAATGGGAGAAAACTGGTCCTTTCCTGCCAAAGCATCAGTGGGCTCCAAACTTCCCCCCAAATCTCTGCTTCTTGTAAATTCCAAAGTCAAATGGCAAACCCTCACTTGATCAGCAAATATTTACTTTTATAGGGCACCATGGGAAAGGCCAAGAAGATTCACTCCATCCCTTTGCAGCCCTGAATCCCAAAACAGACATGAGGCTTGCAGATGTGTGCTGCCAGTATTGGGTGGGATTTCTGAAGGTGCCTGCCTTCTGGTAGCCCATTCTCTTGTCTGAGCTGGCTGCCCAACGGGTGTCAAGTGGATCCCATCGCTTTAGTTATAAAGTCATAAAATCTCAAGGTTGAAAGAAATCTCAATGATTGTTTCTCCCACCCCTCCGCAAATCTACCCCCATCTGCTATTGACTCCTCTTGAGTCAAATATATAGTTCTTATTTCAACATGCTGTGCTCAGTGAAAGTTCAATAAATATTTATTAATGGTGGTGCCCATGATGAATTAACAGCCAAAGCTATAAAATTAAAGTTTCACACAAGCAGAGACCCTGGTGAGAAAGAAACTACTACATAAAGTTTGAAATTTTTCAAAATGACAAGCATTCACACACACACACTCACACATACACATATACACTCACAAACACCCACACACACATACACTCTCACATAGGCACACACCCTCATACACACGTATATACAAACACACACTCTCACACACACAATCACACACACATACTATATGGCAGACAAAAGGCCCCAGTTCTCTTTCTCACTTACCCAGAGAATCACACTGGAAACCAGGAAGCGTCCTTAGAGAATATTCGTGCCTTGGTGGACGTCACGTTCAGCTTCTCAGAGGCCAATCAGCCCGGCCTGTTGGGATGTGCCCAGCCCTGGATCCAGAGTCTCTCTGTCTCCTTGCTGGAATCAAGGGCCAGTGAAGTTCCTGAGAAACAAAATGGTGCCACTGAGGGTTTTATCAGATGTCCGCACTAAGCTAAGCGTGGTAAACATATGCAATTCTAAGGATGCTAAAACTTCAAAGGAAAGATCCAGGTCAGGACAGGTAGTATCAATGAGAATTTTTCACTTGATGGTGTATACCTAGAAGGAGATGCTAGGGATTGTTGTCATAAAGTCAGGAACTTTGAGACCTAGTATGTGTCCAGCCCGAATACCACGGGCAGAGACCAATCATCACCAATTAGATTGTGCAGCCCCTGACCACCACCCCCAAGGAGTCTATGTGCATGAACACACAAGCCTCCCATGGTTCCATCTGAGATCTAACCAACAGAGCTAACTCTTCCCCTCCCTAGGAATGCTGGGACCCCTGGAACTATAGCACCGAGGCACGAGGGCTCACTGTTGCCTCTCTCAATCTCCATCCCATTTGACATTGAGAGCAAGGTCCAGAGGCTTGCTATATCTGGGAGTGAAGGCAGGGCCACGCATGGAGCCCCAGAGTCACTGGAGGTCGGGCAGAAGGGAGCCCTTTCACTCCTGACACCAAATAAGAGAGCACCATTTATGGGCTGGTAAAGTACGTGGGTTCCAGAAAATCTCAGCCGGCTTGAAGGAAGAAATAAGAGACGACCTTGAAGAAATGAATTCGAGTCTGCGCTAAACTCACATGCGATTGTACATGGGACTCACTTCCTCTGAGCCTGTCTGTACCCCCAGGTGCCCTCATGCTGGAGGAAGCTGGTTCTAAGTCAGGATGGGGCAGGGCCTGGGGACAGGACAGAGCAGGGCAAGTAGGAAAAGAAAGGCCATGAAAACAAGACAAGTCTTAAGAGGACTCTTCCACCTTCTCCCCACTTCAGCCCCCGTGGGCAGTGTAGCAAAGATGCCCCAGGAGAGCTGTGAGAAGTGGTGCTTCCTCTGGTTTTTCCCGGGACTTCATGCTGTTCTTCCTCTTCTTTCTTCCCTGTCCAGTCCCCCAGGAGTCCCCTGTCAGACACTATGCTGATGACTGAGCAGGCAACCCCGGAGAAGGCTGAGTGGGAGCCCATCGATGACCACCAGCGTTCAGTGGTATCGCCCGCCCTGCGCCAGGCCCTCTGCTAGGCCAAGTCTTCCAGCGGGAACATGGCCATACGGCCGTAGACAGAACACCCATGGGCCAGCAAGCATTGCCAGCAGAGGCCTGTCTTCCCTGGCTGCTGAATCCTGTCTTATGATTCTTCTCGATTTTGGTGTTTGTTCCTGCCCAGATGGGGTGTCTGATCTTGCCATGGCCAGGGTTTTCTGCAGAAGGGGACCTGGTACACTTTTATAGGACCCTGTGGTTCCCTGGGGCCAGACTCTAATGCTGTCCAGATGCAGAAAAACAGAAGGGCCATTCAAAAACAACCGAAATATCAACACACTTTGAAAGCGGTCTGTTAGCACTTGTCATAAGCACAATAAACAAAACAATGAAACCATCAGAAAGTACCGTGAGACAGTCAGGCTTTAGGAACTTGGCTTTGATGACTTAGAA